GGCATAGGGCTTTTCCACAAACTTCCTGTACACCCAAAAGTGCCTAAGAACCTTTCCAAGTTTTCACGAAAACCGTATTTAACTGTTTCCTTCAATGTCAAGAAATATTTTATTATTAAAAGGTTACAGACTGAATATAAAATATGAGGTTTGAGTGTGTGTGGACTACAACTTCCACAGTCCCCCAAAGCACCTGGGCATTGGCAGCCACCCGGGACTGTGCTAAGACGACGAACAGAGATGAATCAAAAAGGCCCTTCCCTTACAGCTTACCACCCCACGAATTTCACAAAGCAGGCACCAAAACTATGTGGCAAATTAGTAAAACAGGACCTATTCATATGAAATTTCACTTTAGGGCCATCTGTTATCACCCTGTGCTCAGCACACTTTTCTGCCCTAGATTTTCTAGAATCATACTCTAAGGGTATAAATATCTAATCTATAACCTCTGATGTGAAATAAGCACTTAATTTTAATTCTGTTTCCCCTCTACACGGCAGTCAATTAAATATTGCTCCCTGTGAACGAACTGAAGAGTCCTTTCTCCCTGGACCACACCTACCACGAGAAAAGGCGTGTTGTCCTATAAAATGATAAGGCTTCAGACTTTGGTCCATGGTCCAACTCCAAGAACTTCTTTATAAAACCTCCTCAAGTAACTGAGGTCACAGGAATGTGAAAGCAAGACAGCTGCGTGGACACGAATGGCAGTGTAAGCTGGGAAGCCAAAGAAGAAACATGGACACTTGGAAACTCTCAGCATTATAATAAACCATGCACAGCCATGGCAATTGTTCTACCATGTCAGCTCTCATAAAAATGAATGACGGAAACAACTTGTCATTCTAGTTGCTACCATAAAGACATTTTATTATTTCACAAGCCCTTCATCTTATAGTAAAATATAGCAATATACTCTCAAAAGCTTAGATGTAGATTAACAACACAGAATTAACTGTGTAAGTATACACAAAAGTATATACTTACTCAAGTCTAAGGACAGACATTTTTAAAGCACGGAATCAAATGCATGGCTAATTCTTGTATTGTTTGGCTAGTCCTAACTTACTAGTCCTTACAGACAGAGCAGCCATCGTGAGATTATCGAGAGAGGGTAGCCACTGTGAGATTATCACGATCAGGTTTTTAAACCTTGGCTAAGCCTCACTCACAGAATTGTATGACCTAGCTATGGGAATCAAAGACTGCCAAATATAACTCAGTATTTTCTCTCCCCTTCCTCAATAATTAAGTCCTGAGTTTTAGCTGAATATATGGCCATGGAAAAAGAATCCCAGCCTCTCCTACAGCTGAATGCGGCCATGTGACTGAATTTTGGCCTATGGGATGTAAGCTGTGCCTGTAAGAGAGTGAGCATGGCTTTCTCCTTCCGTTTTCCCTTTCTTGCTTGTTGGAATGTGGAAAGTGACAGGAGAAGGAGTCAATAGAATTACCAAGTGGAAGATGTCTGTGGAGGATGACAGCACAAGATGGATGAAGCCATGTCCCTGATGATGATAAAACTGCCACATCAACCCTGGGCCGCCAACCTGAACATTTTCATAAGAAAGCAGCTTCTTTGTTTAAACCACTGGTGCACTAGGTTTTCTGTCCCTTGAAAAAGATTTGTCTATCCCTAATACACCATACCAGACTTCTTCCAGATTCTCTGGACTTTGGACTTTTCTGGATACAATTTCCTCTGCCTGAAACGCTGTTACTACCTCCTGTAACACTGTCTGCTTTCAACATTCATCTGTGGCTGAAATGTTAGGTTTTCAGGTAACTCTTGCTTGAGCCCTAGGTGAGGTTAAATACACTTGCTACTTATTCCTTATACCTTCCCTTGGTTAACATTCACCATATCTTACAATTACTGGGTTAATACCGGTCTCTTCCACCACACTACGTACTCTTTAACAGCAAGTATCTGCTTTGTCCACTGTCATCCAAGTCAGTGGCACTCAATACACGCCCAATAAACATTTGCTCAGTGAACAATAATGCCACAACCCCTCAGTGATTTCTGAACCACACCTTGACCTTATGAACTCTACATAAAGTTCTATTTCTGTCAGATCTCATCTCAGAATGTAAACGGTGTTTCTCTCCATTTGCCTTTGCACAAATCTGCAAAGTGCCAACTCCTTGAACAGTTCTGCATGGTTCTTTCCATTACCACTTCATATTCTCATAATACAGATAGATACTAGAGGGAAGGTGCTACATGTATTCTTGGAAAAAAAAAAAAAAGGAGATCTTTCACTAACTAATATGACTTTTTTTTTTTTTTTTTTTTTTTTTTTTGAGACAGTCTCGCTCTGTGGACCAGGCTGGAGAGCAGTGGTGCGATCTTGGCTCACAGCAACCTCCACCTCCTGGGTTCAAGCAATTCTCCCACCTCAGCCTCCCAAGTAGCTGGGATTACAGGCACCCACCACCAGGCCCAGCTAATTTTTGTATTTTTAGTAGAGATGGGGTTTCACCGTGTTGGCCAGGCTGCTCTCGAATTCCTGACCTCAGATGATTCTCCAGCCTTGGCCTCCCAAAGTGCTGGGATTACAGGCATGAGCCACCACACCCGGCCATGACTATTACTTTTAAGGGCTGGGATGCATTAAAGGCACTTTTTTCATAAGAAACACACAAACTACATTATCTGAATTCTGGCCATGTACAGGAAGACATTCTTAAAATACTTTAAAAGCCTCTGATTTTCAAGTAAACAGAATCGTTTAAAGGCATTACAAGTACCTGCTGGTTTACTGCTTTATGTACTCACTCTTCGTGGCCACTGAAGATTCTACATAGTTGGATGACTCATTTTCACAAATTAAGTACCTTTTTTGTCAAACCGTGGAGTTAAAAGAAATAGGATCCCAGGAAGGAGGTAGTGAGACATTAAAAACAAAAAATAGGGTGGGGGTGGGGGGAGAGAGAGCATCAGGAAGAATAGCTAATGGATGCTGGACTTAACACTTGGGTGATGGGATGATCTGTGGAGTAAACCAGCATGGCACAAGTTTACCTGTGTAACAAATCTGCAAATCCAAATCCTGCACATGTACGCCTGAATTTAAAATAAAAATTGAAAGAAAGGGAAAAAAAAAAAAAAAAAAAAAGCACAAGAGATCCAGGTGATAGTCTCAGTTTTACTAATGATTCACTGGGTAACCCTGGATCAGTCTTGTCAACTCAAAGTGAAGTACCCAGTAGATAA